GGCGGAGGTTGATTACGAACAATACTTAAAAGAGATTCAAATGGTAATTATAAAAGTTGGAGTCTCAAGAGTCTTTTTAAGAATTAAGAATTACCTCATAGCTCTTTCATGTTAGAGAAGTAGAATGGGTGATACGCTTAGTTCATTATTAGTTCAAGAATTGTTCACTGCCAGACATAAGTTAAATGTTGTTACATGTGTCAAGATATGTTTTGAGTCCAAATATTCCAACTTGGAGTCCTTTTTGTCAATTTTATCCAATTTTGCTAACAGCAGTCCATTTTCCATCTTGAATTGCTTAAAATACAGAACGAGTCCCTTATATACTACTTGGCGGTTTATGATGCTCCATTTTGATAATATTATTGATCATGTCCTGCAGATTTCAGAAAAGACATCATAATATCTTTTTTGAAATACGCACTTTTAAGTTGTTTATAATTTGAAGTCTAATCCCCCGCCCCGCCTGATTAGTCATAGAGAAAAGATGCAAAGTTCGAGATTTATTCGATTCTTTTGGAATCAAGTTAGTTCTATCTATTATTTATTAGTATTAGTATTATATTATTACTACTATACATGGTCTCATTTCAAACTCTCTTCAATTTCTTTCTTTCTCAGGCTTGGAAGTGTCCTATCCCTCTTCTGATGAGTGTTTTTTTCATTCTCTTTGCTTATCAGACTTTCAATGTTGGATCTCTCTCTGATTTTTTGTTGATTGCCTGTGATAGTGATAAAAACAATTTCTTTTCTCTCTTTTCCACTTTCACATCTCTATATATCAATTTCTATATGGTACAACAAGAATCAATACATGCCACTCTAAATTTGTTAAGAAATCAATGTCTATTTTTTAATATCATCTTCAATTTCACACATACGCTTACTATTAATTTGACCTTTGGCTTTACAGTGGATGAATTCAAGGACAAATACAAAATATTTTTTATACAATACTGCACCATCGTCTGTTATTCAGTCATTTGAAAAAATCATTTAAGGTTTTAGCAAGAAAGACAAAACTCGCGTTATTACTTTATCATCAAGTCCTTAAAGGTAGTTTGTTGCTTCCATTTGACTACCATTGCATGTTATATATATTTCCTGCAATCGTCTAATAAATCTGTGTCTACTTTTCCAGGTGTCGTCAGAAGGATTTTTCACTATAAGCAGTTTCAGCTTTTCAAAAATTTATGATTCAAAAGGCTTATACCAGAGCTGATCACTTGCCTTCAGCACATACATGGTAATTATTTTATCATCTGAAAGTGAATTATCATTGTCCAACAATAAATTATGATTGCCCTCATAATCCTGAAGATTTTTTTCGGTAGAAGTTTCGTGTTGCTCCTCTCCAAGTTACTTAACTTACTTTAATTTTTGTTACCATCTTAATTTACTTACATTACCGAAGATACCAATAGAAGTCCCTATTCCTTCCTTTGTCCACACTACTCTCCTGCTTTTCTTTTTATGTGCATCCTAACTTACTATAAATGAATTGACATTTTCCCCTATATTCTACTTCATATTTAATTTGTAAAATTGGAAGTTGCTCACGTAATCTGAGTAGATAATAATTTCTTTTGAACCATTACATTTTTTTTAAAGCTCTATTATTTAGTTTATGGATGAAAGTGACATTTAACTCTTTCCATTTGCTTTGTTTTATGGATTCTGAAATGGAGGAAGAGGAGAAAAGGAAATGAAAACTTTTTGAACATGGGCTATAAATTAGGAGTAGTCCTAATTATTTATCTTTGTCAAAACATGTGATGTATTTATGTTGGGCATGATTTGGCGGAGGTTGATTACGAACAATACTTAAAAGAGATTGAAATGGTAATTATAAAAGTTGGAGTCTCAACAGTCTTTTTCAGAATTAAGAATTACCTGATAGCTCTTTCATGTTAGAGAAGTAGAATGGGTGATACGCTTAGTTCATTATTAGTTCAACAATTGTTCACTGCCAGACATAAGTTAAATGTTGTTACATGTGTTAAGATATGTTTTGAGTCCAAATATTCCAACTTGGAGTCCTTTTTGTCAATTTTATCCAATTTTGCTAACAGCAGTCCATTTTCCATCTTGAATTGCTTAAAATACAGCAACGGAATTGTGTATTTATTTAAGGTAGTGTTAGTTGACTTTTAAGGGAACTACTAACTTTCTTGCATCTAAATCTTCTAATTTTACCATCTTTGATCATATAAATATGCAATTTGTGCAAATAGTGAAGTTGATATCTTGATAGAACTTGCCCCCCACTTTTTTTTGATGTGTTTCTTTTTAATAATACGCAGGAACAACAAATAGTAATATTCAGCCACCGGAAAGTAGAGTTGAACAACTGATGTTCCCATGGCACATTGCAATTGCTAGCATACTTTCTTTTTCTTTTCTTTTGATTTTATTTTTGTTTCTAACTTTGTAAATCATCTCATTAACTAAATTATTCATAATTTGAATATGTTGCTTAGTTGCAAATTGTGGCTTATATAGTTGAAATAAGTTCCAGCAATACTCTGTTTACAACAAGCTTACTATGTTGGGCCCGTGCTAAGCACGGGCCATGCCCTTCTAGTATATATATAAAAAACAAAAAGTATTTTTGAAGTGTTTGTCTTTTTATAGAAAAATATGGTAAATCTATCAAGAATATTCTTAATAATTCCAATTGAGATCGATCATTCATTACGAGAAAAAAATCAATATCTACTCACTCTTTTATAGAAGATAAAAGTTTTATTAATGTGCTTCATAATCATAGTTTTTTTTATTTGAATCCAAAATTACATAATTAGTTAGAGTTACCATAAAGTAGAAAACTTTATTTTTCATCTCTTCATAATTTTCCACCTCTTACTCCTTGCCTAACTCTTTAGACAAAGAATCTACTAAATTTTATAGCCAAACAAAGCCCACCAAGTTGGACTAGGTAACCCTTCTTCAAATCACAGCCATTAATTCATCAATCAAGTGTCCAAGAAAATTAGAAGATGAGCCATTTTCCTTCCAAACATCCTTGCATTTCTCACTCATTTTCTTAAACTTTTGTCTCACCTCACCATCACCATCCATTATTTTCTTAACCCCTTTTGCCACTTCCTCTGATGAAACCAATGTTGTGCCATCTCTATAATCCATTGTGATTTCCACAGCCAAATCCAACTCTTTCACCAACTCAAATGCATTCAAGTGTTGCTCTGCATATATTGGCCAAGTACCAATTGGCACTCCATAATATAAACTTTCAAGAATCGAATTCCAACCACAGTGTGACACAAATCCTCCAATAGCCTTATGGGCCAAGATTGTAACTTGTGGGACCAACCCACACACTAGCCCTTTCCCCTTTGTTGATTCTAAAAACCCATTAGGTAAAATTTCCTCTAAGTTTGTATAATCATTTGGAAGTTCTCTTTTATCCTTTGGTGCTTCTCTAATTGCCCACAAAAAAGGGTGTCCTGCTTTCTCCAAACCTTTTGCTATTTCTTTCACTTGTGAATCTTTAAGACTTCCCATACTTCCAAAACTCAAGAAAATTACTGATGATGGTTCTTGATTATCAAGCCATTTCATGACATTTTCATGACCCCAAGAATCTTGATGCCATTGAGCTGGTCCATTATGATCCACTACTGGTCCAATTGGATAAATTGGTGGTACAACATGACTAGTAGTATGTACTAATGAGTTTAAGCAAAAAGGTTCAAGTTCTTGAAATGTGTTGACAATAATACCCTTTGTTTCTTTGTACCTTTTTGCATGATGTAGGAACCAAGAGTAACCATCTATATGTCTTTTTAGCATGAATGAAGGGAAACATTTAATAGGGACAGGATTGGAAAAGCCAAGAATGTTGAAATCATTGGCTGAATCTTTGTACTCAATATTAGTACTAACTTGAGCATCTAAAATTGGGAGATGTAACATGAAGCTCAAGAAAGTAGCAGGGGAAGCAAAGTAAAGATAACATGGAATGTTTAGTTCCTTAGCAACATCAATAAAAGATGTACAAAACATGTCAATAAAGAATCCAACAACTTGCCCTGAGTCCAAGTCTGAGTCTGAAATAAGGTCAATAAGTGCATTTTTGACTTGTAACGTGTGATTTTGAATTAATAGTGATAAAAAACCTATAGTTGCCTCAAATTGATCGAGGGACGGTGGATCTGCCACGGGGAGGGAGAGGAAATGGATGTTTCCGGTGGCGTTGGTGGTGGTGGTGGTGGTGAGAGAGTCAATATATGATTGGACAAGTGGTCTTTGAGGGATGTTAATTAAGAGTATGGTGGCTGAAAAGTTTTTGTTTTTTTGAGTGAAGAGTTTAGCAAACTCAATAATTGGAACAATGTTGCCAAGTGCTGGTGTTGAAATGAACACTACCTTTGCTCTTTTCATGGTTGGTTTAGGATTTGGCTTGAAGTAATTGGAGATAAGGAGGTCACTATATAAAGTACTCCTTTGTCTTTTTTTTCTTTTTTTCTCTTTTTTAATTGGTGGAATCGTTTATATTCAAAGTAGTAGTATTTTTTTATTTGAACTTGTTAGTTTACTATAAAAAGAATTATAAATTTATAATAATAAACATGTGAGTTCATTAGGTAGGTCATTCTATAAATTCTCTTTTTTAATTGGGTAGTAGGTGGTAGTAGATAGCAAAGTGCCAAAGGCTTTCGTCTGGTCAAATAAATTTCATTTATATATTTGAACTTACAATCTGTTTCAATTAAATACATGAACATAATAAAGTGTTTCTATTAGATATATATTTTTAATTTAAGTTTTGAATTTTATTTTTTTATATGCAAGCATCTATTATATAGTTAAGTTAACCACTATAAATATGTCATTTCCTATAATTATATACATCAATCTCGATCAAAACAAGTTTGAGGTTTTACGACTGATTAAAGCTAAATTGTATAATTAAAGGTGACATTTTTAAATGATTAGCTTATTTATGTAATCTGCACTTCTTCAGAACACATGCAAAAGATTTTCAAAAATCTAAATTAAAAATGTACGAGATAGTTAGGTGATCAAATGGAACAAACGGTGATCCAAATGTCTACAAAAGTCTAATATGTTGTTCACCCCAAAGTCATATTTACACTCTCTTTTTTTCAGACTATGGACAAAATTTAAATAATGGTCTAAAAGGGACATTTGCGTAAATCAGCTAATGGTTAGCAGAAATAAACATATTGGGCTTTATAATTTTTGACCCAAATTGTAGTAGTCCAATAAGCCCAATCCCAACTTCTTCATCTATCCAGCTTTATCGAGAGCAAAAATCTTCAGAACACTAAACCCTGCAGCAAAAATCAGGGTTTTAGCGAGAAAAGAAACTCACAAATTTCAATCAATGGGGACGAAGAACAAAGGTATATATTTTTTTTAAGTTTTTCTTTCAACGCACTTTCCTGTTTTACATCCTGTTTTATGCTATTTTTTTTTTGGTTGGGCATGTCAGAATCGAAGAAATTGAGCAAAAAATCTTCGACGGTTGAAGAAAATACAGATGAAATGATGTCCAAGTCATCTTCAGAGCAAAATGTGGGAGGACATGCGGATCAATTGAAAAGACTCCAAGAAAAGGTGATAATTTTGTCGACATGTCTATGAGTTCTTTGCTTTCTTTTTGTGCTTTCAGTTCTGTATTTTAGTACTTTCTTTTTGAATGATTTTACTTTTTATGTAAGTTCTGAAAAAACTTGAGGAATACAAAAACATGAGCAGCCAAACTTTTTGATATGCGTCAGAAGCAGCAAACCGAGTTGCTTACTGTCATTGCCTTTGTTTTCTTTGTAAGAACCAATTTTGTCTGTCTGTTATTGATTTATTATTTGATCAAATAAAATTTCATTTAGAATCCCAACACCATTTCCTTCAAATGCCAATAAAATGATTCAAAGATGTAGCTTGATAGATTTACTCACAGAGTTTAAGGTCATTCATCTACAACTCATTCCTATATTTAGCCTGCTTGCATCATTGAACAACGTAATCCATCTGCTACACATTTTGATATTGTCAGTGCAAGTGTAGTGTGGTGCAAATATTCATTCCATAATTTTTTGTACTGATTACTGATAAATCTATTTAACCAGCATATGCCACATTTTTTTTCTGTAGGATCCCGAGTTCTATCAATTCTTGCAAGAGCATGACAAGGATCTCCTAGAGTTTGATGATGAGGATACTGATGTAAGTCTTTACAATATCTTCCCTTCTCATTGTTCTCATGGTATGTGAAATGTTTGTAGAATCTTATTCCAATTTTGTGAAGGATGATGACGAGACTGAAATGGATGGTGAGGAAATCGAAGATGATGAAGCTGACACTGAACAACTTGTTCATGCAGATGGAAAGGAGGTCAAGTCATCCACAAATGTCATCACTACTGCAATGGTGGATGCTTGGTGTAGTTCAATTCATGAAAACAGGAGTTCGGGGGCTATTAGGTCTCTCATGAGAGCTTTCCGCACAGCTTGTCATTATGGCGATGATACTGGTGAAGATGCTAAGTCAAAGTGGAGTACTATGTCTAGCTCTGTGTTCAACAAGATAATGTTATTTGTTCTAAAAGAAATGGATGGAATTCTTCGTGGCCTGTTGAAGTTGCCAACTTCTGGTGGGAAGAAGGAGATGATAAAGGATATGTCTAAAACTAAACGATGGAAGAGCAACAACCACTTGGTCAAATCATATCTTGGGAATGCGCTACATGTTCTAAATCAGATGACTGATACAGAAATGATATCATTTACATTACGAAGACTCAGATTTTCATCTGTATTTTTGGCTGCTTTTCCAGTTCTTTTAAGGAAATATATAAAGGTATGGGATTGAGTGATCTAATACTTACAATTCACATAACTCTTTTCTTGTACAAAGGAATGATTAATCTAGAACAACAGTTTTCTTCTGCTATAATATAACTTTATTTGCAAGAAATTTGCATGTTTCATCCTTTCTCCTTCTCTTTTTGGGCAGGGGTGAGTAGGTAAGGCTATATGCTGTTTCGAGGCTTCAGCTATTATCAAAAGCTAATTATCTTCAATTTGTCATTGGGGTCTTTTAAGTGTTTTCTATATCAGTGCTATAAAATTTATATCTGACAGTTGAATGACATGGCATTTGGTCCTTGATCACTTCAAACTACGCACACTGCTTATTTCCTACTATCACAAACAAAGTAAATTCATTAAATTAAGATCCATAAGAATTAAGTTTAAAAATAATTGCGAAGCACTCTTGGTTTAGACTTCTCTGTTTTTCAGAATTCATGAGTCACATGGGTCTTTTGTTCTCTGCATGGGGTATTCTTCACACTGTCTAAAAGAATCAGGCTTAAGCATAATTTGACTTTTCAGGTTCTTCTTCATTTCTGGGGTACAGGCGGAGGTGCACTACCAGTTGTCTCTTTTTTGTTTCTAAGGGATCTGTGTATACAGCTTGGCTCTGATTGCATTGACGAGTGCTTTAGAGGGATGTATAAAGCTTATTTATTG